CCGTGCCCACAAATGTACCGTATTTTTTGGGGGGGGGGTATAAGACGCACCAGAGTATAAGATGCACCGAGATTTTGAAGAGGCAAATTAAGGTTTTTGCACTCTGCAGACCTCCCAAAAACGGGCCCGTTTTTCCCCCCCCAAAAAAAGGGCATGAATAGCCTTTAGGAGGCTTGTAGAGTGCTCCTGGGGTGGGGCAAAAAACAGCCCGTACTTCACTCATTTCTGCCCTCCCCAGCCCCCAGGAGCACTCTGGAAGCCTCCTAAAGGCTTTGCATGGCCATTTGGGTGAAGGGGGAGGGCCTTCAGGAGGCAAAAAAATGCTGTATTTAGTGTATAAGACGCACCCAGATTTTCAGCCTCTATTTTGAGGGAAAAACGTGTGTCTTAAACTCCGAAATATATGGTAGTCCTCAACTATATGGCATTGGCGTCTTATCATGGCCAGCAGCCAATAACCCTCCCTTACTCTTCCCTCCCCTTCCCCAGGAAGAAGAGTTGGTCCGTGAGAGCCGTTTCTACTTCCAGGGCTATGGACTGGGCCATTGCCTGCAGCACATGAAAAGTGGGACGGCCATGGAGAGCCCCATCTACAGCCCGCCGGCGCCGGCCACCCTCCTGCGAGAAGGCGAGATGCTCCGGAGGCGCTACGTGGAGCGGGCCAAGCGCATCGACACCGTCTCCCGAGCCGTCTTCCCTTTCACTTTCTTGGTCTTCAACATTTTCTACTGGGTGGTCTACAAAGTACTCCACCAAGCGGCCCCCTGAGCCGTGAGCGGGACCTGCCTTGCTGGCGGCTTCCTTGTGAGCTCCTGGCCCGGAGAACCAACGCACAAACATCGACTCCTTTTCCCAAACGCCGCGCTGAGAAATTGGGCAAACTCTGCATGACGCTCAGGTGCGCCAAAGGGAGGTGTGGGAAACGGGCCCCCGCTCAGCAGGATAGGATTTGGGGTGGCTGCATTTCATAAGGAGGACCCCGCCGTGGGGTTGTCCTTCATTTGCTAGATTTGGGTTGCTCCCCTGAGGTCCAGGAAGCCTTGGAAGGACGAAAGAGCAGACGGGTAAAGAGAGAAGCTGTGGGTCACCCGGTCCGTCCCCCTGCCCAGCGCAGGCCTCTGCTCAGCTTTCCCTTAGAGGTGGTTCAGCCCCTCCCTACTTGAAAACCTCCCGCAAGGGGAACAGCATCTCTGCAAGATGTTCACACTGCTCGGCGGCAATTCCCGAGAGGAAATCCCTCCTGAGAGGACATCTCCACCGTGTCGAGGGAGAAGGCGGAAGCGGCTTTGGTGGTCTGCTTAAGCCAATGGCGGTCGGCTGCTCCGAGAGCTTCTGGCAGGGCTTCGGCTCCAAGCCCCGATTGCCCTGGGAGGCACCCTCCGAAGCCCCCGTGACTCTTTCCCGGTTTGCAAAGCAGCCTTGGGTCCAATAGAACAATGGCCTCCTGTGCTCTGGACACCGCTGTCCTTCAGGCAGCCCAAGATTGCGTCGGCTTTTGAGCAGCTGCAACCCGGGCTTTGCCCTTGTTCGGACTGCGCTCCATATGTCGTCGTCGTCCTCCTCCTCCTCCTCCTCCTCCTCCTCCTCTTCTTCACATGCCAATCCAGCCCGACACCCAGAGTCAGGACAATTTTCAGGAAAACAGGATCTGCAAAGGCAGCACAGATCTTTCAATTTGCACCCGCCCAGCATTCAGACCTGTCACACACCTGTTGAATTGCACCGTGGCTGTCTAAGGTGTTATTCAACCCCCTTACCTTGATATCCTTCCCTTCCAAGCCGTCCTCTGGGCCCCTTAAAAGAGACTGTAGAGAGTCTGGTCGAGGATGGCGCCCCCAGGGCCTGTCAATGGACAATGCAAAGTCACTTTAGCTGACTGTTATCTGCAGTTCAGCGGTTCAAATCTCACCGGCTCAGGGTTGACTCAACCTTCCATCCTTCCGAGGTAGGTAAGACTGTGGGGGCAATGTGCTGGCTCTGTAAACCGCTTAGAGAGGGCTGAAAGCCCTATGAAGCGGTATATAAGTCTAACTGCTATTGCTATGGTTCCATGGCTCCATCAGTTGCAAGCTCTCAGACTAGCCCACACCTCCAATGCCAACCAGGACAGGCCCACAATCCCAGCCCCTCTTTTGCCAGCCCCTTTTAGGGGCTCCAGCCATCGCCTCGCCCGTAAACCCTGCCAAGCCCTCTACAGGAGAGCATTGCCCAGCGGGGGGCCGCCTAGCTTCCCTCTTCCAGAGCTGTGCCACCCGCTCTCTCACCCTCTGGGAGAGCCCCTTGGCAGCAGCCCTGCACGCTTATTTATTATCACATCAGCCAAACAACTCTTGGCAGGTAAGAATTTAAAACATTGAAGGCAGGTAACTAACAGAAAGAGCTCAGGAATAACAGCCGAGCCCGGCTAGAATATCCTCCAAAACACTTCCGCTTTCCGCATGTTTCCGAAATGGCTGAGGGAAGAGGCATGGGGGTGGCGGCCAGCCTGAACTCTGCCTGCTGGCCCTTTCTTTCCCCATCTCCCCGTGGTGCCTCTACCTGAGCTGTACCACGTTTTTCTTCCCTGCTCCTTCCCAGTTTGTTGACCGGACCGTATCTTCCCACTTGCGAGCGTGGTTTTCCCAGGAGTGGAGCATCCGGCAGCCGAGAGCAGCTTCCCACCCATCACCTTGAGAAAGCTGTAGCTTGTCTGCCTGCGGGATTTGCCACGTAGAAACCCTTCCCTGCCTGCAGGGACCGAATGGGATTTTGAAAACAATGCCGTTTTAAAAACCCCTCTGCTTTTCCTATAGAAATAAAGTGCCATGGGGATTTTATTTCAAGTCGTGGTGTGTTTTTTTTCAATGGGTAAAAGACTCCCACTGGCAAAGTGGCAAGGAGTGCCACTAGACCAGGAGCCAAATGGGAGCGCCCCCCCCCAACTCCCAATGGGCTGGAAACTCCTCCCAGCCTGGGGAGGGTGGCATTTGGGGTTGCCACTTCTGAGACTGGCTTCTGTAGGTGCCACCTCCTTGCAGCCTCGAAGCTGGTTGATTTCTGCCCGCGGGCGGGTGAGACTGTTGCTCCAGGCTGGGTGGGGGCCTGATGTGGCTCTGAGCTCCTCCAGGCCACATTTCCTTTCTGCAGCAGAGACCAGGTGGCAGTGAATTCTCTCTCCCCAAACCTTGGGGAAATGGAGCGGTGGTGGGTTTCAAAAAAAGTTTCGAACCTACTCTGTGGGTGTGGCCTCCTTTGTGGGAGTGGCTTGCCAGCCATGTGACCTGGTGGGAGTGGCTTGCCGGCCATGTGTTCTCTCTCTCTCTCTCTCT